AGTAAGTGTATGATTTTAGCTATTCTGCAATCTGCTTTGGCAATAAAGTACATTTATTTCCAACTACTGTGCTCTGGGCTAATAGAATACAAAACTTTTAATGAAACTGAACAAATGTTTGCTTATTATAAACTCAAAACACAAATTTACTTATATGTCAAAAGTTCACTGGAGGCCAAAGGAAAGACAAATGTGAGTTAATGAGTTATGTAACTTTGCTTTCTCTAAGATAATAAGTAAGTATTAATTCCTGAATGAAAAAGAGATAAAGGGAGCCCTTGGCAATGAACTTCATCTACCCAAATGTCATGGTATTTTATCAATTTCATTAACCACCCCCTACCAATGTCTTAAAATTGATGCTTCTGTACTTTTCAAAGCACTTTCATATAGATATAGTTAGATATAGTCTCATTTTACCTGGAAACCAAATGAGATAATTAGAAAACACTCATCCCAAGTTAATAGCTAAAGGAGCAACAGAGAGAATGTACTAAAGATCAGAGCTAGTTACTGATAGAACCACATTACCAATCAGGCTTTCCAATTCCTAATCACTACACTATGCTATGCTCATAAGCAACATTACACGTCCACTCTCAGGAACTGATGAAAAACCATCTTCCTTCTACCACTAAAAGTGTTCACCTAACACAACTAATTCTTGAGCTTTAGCCAAAAACCAGAATGAGATTGGTGAACCTAACTCTGCTAGACATTCAACAGGTAATAAAAGCAAAACTAGACAAAATTTTAAGAATACATGCCCCAGATTCTTTCTCTATCAGAGTAAATTTCTTCGTCTTTACCTTCCAAGTAAAAATACGCAAAAAGAGGTTAGGAAAAAGAAAACCAAGAATATCTTAATCACGACTCTTTCCAAATTGACAAATCCATTGATCATGACTGTTGAGTTATATACAATAAATAGTCTTACCTCTTTAATTAGAAGCTTAAAAACAGAAGGCACTTTTACAGCAATTTCATTTACTCCATAAAGCAGTTTTCTATAACAGGAAAATACATTAATACTATTACATTATATAATAGTAGCATAATTTATGAAAGGCATTGTATTAGGTAAGGCTTAAACCACAGACTGTTCTCATTCATGTCTCCAAACACTTATCTTCTATAATTCAAACTCTCTACCTACAGAATTTAAAACAAAGAAGTCAATAGTAGATACCTATACTGGTAGCATTTAACTTCATTTTGTCTCACATCTTTATGTGTGACAAGTATCTTTCCCACTAGTCTATAATACCATGTGAGCAAAAGGTTCTCTTTTGCATCCTTGAACACACTGGATCTTAACAATTTTGAATTACAATTAACTTTTGCAAGAAACCAAATAAATTGGAGGGATCTTATTTTTTTAATACTGCACTAACAGTGTTTAGTTCAACACATTGTGCATTTGACTTTAAAAGAAAATGCTTTTAAAGTTTAAATGTTTCCACTTAATTCCTTATGTTACAGTAGTATTTTCTATATGATAGAGTAATTCTTGACTTTTATGAAGTGTAAGTCTAAATGAGTGAATTTTATGTTCTACCCCTTTGAAAGAACATGCTACAGAACTGTAAGAAAATTTCTTATGGAATTTCAAAATGGCATTTATCTTTAACATATGCAATACACTGGTGTATTTTTATGATTTAACAAGGAGTAACACTATGAAGAAGATTACTTCTCCCAATTTACAATTTTTCATTACGGTGAATTTGAACTATCAATTGTAAGGCATACCATTATTATATGATCAAGAATGACACTTCACCAACTCTGTGACACATCCCAATTTCAGAGATGTCAAAAGGTAGAAAAATGTGCACCTGGCAACTGATGAAATACGGTATAATTTCAGGGATACCAATTCCAAAATATCAGCTTTCACATTTTTATAATTCTTAAACTGACAAGACAGTCTTACCCAAATAAAATATCAATAAATTCTCAACTACTATGTCTGTAATATTTAAGTATCTGTTAATATGTACAACTATATGGTAAAGGGTTGACTATGTATACTACTGCTTTCAGGAATTTTGAGAAGATCTAACTTTAGTTGGATAAAAATTACCTGTAGGCATGCATCCCCTTTGTCAGTCCTGCACTATGCTTTTCATAAATTGACGTACAAGAAACACCTTCATCCAGTCCCCTAAATAAATCCAAAGTTTTTACTTTAAACAAAGTTTAAAATATCCAAATTTCTTAACGCCTCATTTTTCTATATGCCTGATTTTATAAAGGTGTGACTTCCTTACAAATGCTTAGAAACCCTTAACAAAAATTGAGATAACAAATGAGAATTTTTAAATCTCAAATTCTTAAGATAAACAATGACAAATCTAAGTCTCAAACCCAACTTCAAAACTATTCAATGTATTTATTGCAGGATAGATGAGATGGCTCTAAATACTCAAGTTTATATAATAATATCATTATCCTTAAGACTGTGCCAAAGGTGTAATAACTAAAATTAAACTTTAAAATTTTAAGATAAAGTATAACTTGAGAATTCTAAACCAAAGATGAAAAAATTTTACTTTTTAGCTACATAGTTTCTCCTTTTCAATTTTAGAGTCAAACTAAGAATTTCTATTCATTGTCTTCCATCTCCATAAAAGCATCAGTTCAAACCCTTCCCTAATGCATACCTGGTTTGAAGTGCAGAATTTACGAGTCACAGACAATGCCTAAAATCTGTAGTAATTACAAATGGGATTCAACTAACATATCCACTTTTTCCCAAAATATCTTAATTATGCTTTTTTTTTTTTTT